AGTACTGGTAGCACTTTTAGTGTGTTAATTTTGCACCTGGAACGGGCCATTCCGGATGCAAAATTAACACACCAAAAGTGCAACCAGAACGACCCATTCTGGTTTCAGAACGGGCCGTTCTGGTTCCAGGTGTTTTCAAAAAATTGGCATCCACGTGACATCTACGTGGTATCCACCTATGCATCCACGTAGCATTCACGTGACATCCACCTATGCAACAGTTAACTCAGTTAAAGAAATTTGGACGGAAGTCCCACATTAAAACCAATTAATTTATTAGGGACTAAATTGAAACTAATTAATTAGTTTTGAACCAAATTGAGACAAAAAATAAAAGTGAGACTACATTGAAAAAAAAAAAAAGATTATAAGGGAGCAAAATAGGTATTTAGCCATTAATTTTTCATTTCTATCGATGACATCGTCGTAGAGTTGAATAAGGCTCCATTTGAAAAATAACTTAATTAATGTTTTTTAATGAACTTTTATTACATAGGACTTTATTACGTTATAAGTCGTTAAAATTTAATAAATTATTTGAATTTGGATATACATATTAATAATTGCTAATATAAATTTAAAGTATTTTGATGCATTGTTATATAATTACTTATAAGATGTTTTATTTTGAAAAATAAAAAAATCAAATCAAATTATTATTAAAATAAATTAAAAATTAGAAACAAACTAAATCATTGATGTCCCAAACCAAATCTTTCTAAACTCACTTCATTTAATAATTAATATTTTATAACAAATTTCAACGATCCAACAGTTAAATTAAAAAAATTTTAACACATAAATTAAGTCTGGAATTTTTAATTTTTTTAAAATTATTTAATACTACGTTATATAAAATAAAATTAACGTATAAAATATTTTTATGATTATCTATCAATTTGAATTAATAAAACAAAATATTAAATAGTTTTTAAATTTTTTTTAAATTATAAATTTGATTTATACATTAAGAACTTTTAATTTAATAATTAAATTGTTAAAATTTGATATAAACATAAGTTATTGAGTGAAATAAATCTAGGCATACTTACTCTTAAAGTAAGTAGATCTCTGTATATATATACACACATACATATTTAAAAAGACTCGATTATTATGGTCCTTATATATATATAGTTTTATGAACCTTACTTTTTATTTTCTATGATAGAAACATTTCATTTTAGTCTTTATAGTTAAAGATGTTTCATTTTATTCTTTATATATATTATTTTTGTTCTTTTTTAGTGCTTATAAAAATAAACGACAAAGAGTAAAAGAGAAAACAAATGATATGTATATATACTAAAATGAATTTTTTTTTTTAACTAGATGAACTAAGAAGTGCTTTATTTTTAAGAATAAAAACTATTTTATATATAAGAATAATTTTTGGTCCTTTACCCACGGGTTTTTCCACCAAGTCATCAGGTCCAGGTATAGCTTGTTTTTTACGTAGACTTTGGGCCTACCGAATGCGTAAGTTGGGACTGATAAAACCTTGGCATTTTTACACTCTTTTGCAGTGGGCCTACCAAATTAACTTCTTTTCGTAATATTACTTTTCATCGTAATAAAGAATTATATAAGTGTCATAATTTCTAATCTTGGAGTGCAATTTGAAGCATTTATTTATTTATTTATTTTTACTTAAGACTTTGATCTAACCAAAATTTAATCTAATTTGTAGAAAGTTAATTTTAGTCTGTAATTTATGTTTTTAGTTTTGTTGTTATTTTATAGTTGATAAGAAAGTTGGAAAACATTGAGAAAAGCAAGTGAAAATCTTGTGAAATTTTAAGAGAAAAGAAGACTTTTAGTTAAGTTTTCACGTTGAGCGTGAAAACTCCCACCGAGCATGAGCCTCCCAGGGAGTCATGTAAGTTGATGCAAGCTCCACCTGAGCATAGAAGCTCACGCTTAGCACCAACTTTCCAAAGGAAAATTCGAGCTCTCACACTAAGCATGAAACCCACACTTAGCGCTACAAGTCTAGAGGTCATTTTCTTATTGTTTCTTATCTCACGCTTAATACCATAAGTGCCAACATGCCATTATTAAGAAGAGATACAAGGTTTTATGACCTAAAGTGGAGAAATGATGAGACATATGATTGGAGAATATTTCTTGAACTATGTGTGGTGGTTGGAGAGCTCTCATGGCTTCAAAATCAAGTTTCTTCCTTTTTTCACCATTTTTGTTGTACTCCATGTCTATGTGTAGTTAAGTTCACCCTTATTGAGGTTTGATATAACCAGACTCATTCTTATATTAACATTCTAAGTTATTAATCATGGTTGTTATTCAATACTATTGTTTTATCTTCTTTACTTAATATTTGTTGTAGTTTAATCATCCTTAACTTGATTTTGTGAGTTTAAAGCGATTGAAAAATGCTTGTGAATCTTTGAACTGAAGTAGAGTAGTTAATGATGTTTATCTCTAGAAATAAAGTAAATGTTATTAGTCATTCATAAACTTTTGTTCTTAAAGTTGGGTTTTTGGTCAAATTATGTAAGAAATCGATAACTTAGTTAAGAAACTTAAACTCTACCTTGTAAGGAATTAAGGTTTGAGTATATTTGTGAGTTGAATGATAATTTTTTTTAATTATAATTGAATTAAATCTTGTTTATAAGCATAAGAAGATGGTTTGATGAAGTTAAAACTCAACATAATTCATTATTGTGTTAAAATTAGTTTTTGCATTCAAAGTGCTCATAAAAATACTAAAAAAGACTTCTTATACTCCCTCCGTTTTTTTATTTGACGTTTAAGGTTTATGTATGAGAATTGAGAAAATGATTAATATTTTAGTTTTTAAAAATATTTATTACTTACTTTCCTATTATACATTTTATTTTATTTTATTTTATTTTTTGTATTCAAGCCTTGAGATTGTTGATGTGTGTACACTTATTGTTGTTATGCACTTTTTGAGATGTCCATGAATTAATGCATTGATTATTGGAATACACATGTAAACTGTAACCTATTCCATTTGATCACACCTCTAAGTAAATTGTGGCTTTCGGGTATCCTAATTCCTGAATGAATATCATGGAAAGAAAAATAAAATTCATGGATGAGTGATATTGCCTCTATCAAGATTAATCTAAAATTTGCTTATCACTGTAATGTCTAATAGTATAAATATTAACCCCAATTTTATACATCTATATATTTGCGGATAATATATATATATATATATATATAT